CCTCTATGAGGTGGATTGATTCAGTGACTGGGATAACTGGGATGGGAGTGTCAGAGACAGTGCATTGGCACAGGACAGAGCAGAGTTTAGGGCTGTTGTACATAGGGTCGGTATGAGTCGCAAGTGTCTCGATGGCACATAACAACAACAACAACACAGGGATCTAACTCATAATTATGAGCCAACATCTGCATAGGGCTTATTCTCTGTCAGTCATGGTGTGAAATGATTTCTGAAAATTCACTGAACATCTTTTCAACAGCCCTAGGAAGCAGGACTACTGTTAGAGTCCTTCTGCAGATGGAAAACTGAGACATGGCTAGACTCATTTCCTCGAGGTTACATAGCTAGCCAGTGGCAGACCTAGAGTATGAAGCCAGTGTGGATGTTGTTAATCACTGTCACATCCTCTGAAATATATGTATGTGTCTGAAGTACATAGAAAAAGCATTGACAGGGTATCTATTAATTATTAAATTATATTAGAGGGAAACACAAGAGAGATATGGAGGATTTCAACATACAACCTATGCATGTTCAAACAATATGTTTAAATAAATTTTAAAAATAAAGGCAAAAAAATGTGTATTCATAGATAAAATAATTACTTTAAAATAATGTTCAAAATGAGAGGGTATAGAGAGGTTTAAATAAGTTGAGGTAAATAATTGCATTGAAGAGACTGAGATTATTAACAGTTTTAGTTTGCTTGGCACCACAATCAACACTCTTGGTACCAGCTGCCAGGAAATTAAAAGACTAATTAGACTGGGGAAGTCTGCTGTCAGAGATCTCTCCAGAGTACTGAAGAGCAACAATGTCAGTCTGGAGACTAAGGGGCGCCTGTTCCAGGCCATAATCTTTGCAGTTACTTGCTATGCATCAGAAAGCTGGACAATGACTAGGGATGATAGCGGAATTGATGTCTTTAAGCTGTGGCACTGGGGAAGAGTATTGAATATAGTATGGACTGCTAGGAGAGCAAACAGGTACATTCTAGAGAGGGTGAGACCAGGATGCTCCTTGGAGCAAGGATTCTGAAGCTTTGTTTGACATACTTTGGACATGTTGCAAGGAGGGACCAGTCCTTGGAGAGGGACGTCATGCTTGGGAGGGTGAAGGGACAGCGCAATAGAGGAAGACCTTCAATGAGATGGATTGATTCTGTAATCAGGATGATGGAGGTAGGTGTGTCAGAGACAACAAGAATGGCACAGGATAGAGCAGAGTTTAGGGCTGTTGTACATAGGGTTCCTATGAGTTGCAGGCGACTCAAAGACACTTAACCACCCAATCTCCTCCCATGGGATTAACTGCCTCTGAAAACCCGTTGGAGGGTCAGCTATGGGTTAGTTCCGATTCAATGGTACACAACAACAACAGCAACTGAATGAAAGGAAAAAAGTTCCTAACTAAAGGTAAAGATGACACTGAAAAAAAAATTAGACATATATTAAAAAGCCTACCAAGATTTACAAATAACCTATAAAGTACTATAGCTGATAAATGAAGAGCTTGTTTTAAGCAGTTTTCTGGGTTTTTTTCTTCTTTACGAGCAATCTTTTTTTTTAAAAGCAAATGAAGGGAGCTCTGGTGGCCTAGTGGCAAGAAACAGCACTACAATCCCAGAGTATGTGGTTCGAATCCACCAGATGCTCTGCTGGAGAAGGAGGGACAAATTCCTCTTATACCTGTCAGATCAGATTTGATGGTACACATGCAAAAAAATAATAAAATAAAAATTTTTTTAAAAAAGCAAATGAAATATACAAATGTATATTCATTAAATATGAATTTTCTTTTATTTGTATTTTTAAGCTATTTTAAATCCTTTGCTGTCATCAATTTAAAAAAATTAAATATAATGGAAGATAAAAATCAGATTTAGTAAAGAAGTAAAAAGAAATTAATTCATATTCAACTATTTTAGTGTTCTTTGTGGAAAACCATGATTCTGAATGGCCACACTTGGAAACCACTAGCTAAATTCATATGACTAGATAAATGTATCTATGACAGAGCTAAATATGTCCTTGTATAATATAGTCTCCAATGTCCAAGAGTCCATTTTGACTCACAACAATGCTACAAGGCAGAGCAGGAGTTGCTGCACCACAGTTTCCAGGGACATGAATTTTTAAGGAAGCAGTGTCACATATTTCTCCTGTAAAGCTGCTAATGTGTTTGAACTGCCAGCCTCTGATTAACAGCCAATTCCCTTAGCCACTGTGCCACTGGAACCCACTGCTGTTCAGTCAGTTTTGGCTCACAGTGAATCTGTAAATCTTTATGAGATAAAGCTGCCAAGCTTTCTCCCACAGAACTGGTAGATTCGAACTGCTTACCTTTAGTTGTTGTTAGGTGCTGTCGAATCAAATACACCTCAAGAACAAGAGATATGGACCCTGTCCCATCCTGTGCCATACTCACAAACTCCAACACCCTCAAGCCCATTGCAGCAGTTTTACATATGTACAACACCAGTCCCTTTACATTGGACACAAATAAGCTCAAAGGATGAGGAGAAAGGAATTGAGAATAACTATAAACTCAGACTCAGGATTAAAAAAAAAAGATCAGGTGGAGTTATCAAATTTTCCATCCACATTTATTTGTCTTAAAAATGCTTTGCTCGGTGAGCTCTTTTGGCCTAGTGACAAGAGGCTGTACTGCAATCCCAGAGGTACGTGGTTTGAATTCACCAGACACTTTGCTGGAGAAGGAGGGACAATCTCCTCCTGTACCAGTGAAATCCAATTTGATGGTACAGACACACACACACACACACACACACACACACACACACACACACACACACACAATAATAATATAAAAAAAATGCCCTGGGGAGCTCTGGTGGTCGAGTGGCAAGAAGCTGCACTGCAATCCTAGAGGTGTGCAGGTCAAATCCACCAGATGCTTTGCTGGAGAAGGAGAAACAATCTCCTCCTGTACCAGTCAAATCTGATTTGACGGAACACACACACAAAATAATAATAGTAATTTTTTAACTTTGCTAGTTGGATCCAATTCCACGGCGCGCGCGCGCACACACACACACACACACACACACACACACACGTTGCCTTGTTCATTAATTTTTCTTTAAAGACTTGACCCAAAACAGTTGTTTTCATCTGATGTTGCATATTATAATCACCTAGGAAACTTCAAAAGCAGGCTTGCCCAGATCTCACCTCTGCTCCTCTAAATAGGTATCTCTGGAGGTGGGCGCTGGGTACAAGCACGTGTTACACACCCTTGAGGACCCTACATGGGAGTCAGGAGTGAAAGCCATGGCTCTAGGAGTGTGAAACTGGTCTTCTGCTTGAAGAGTGGCAATTTCAAGACATAGTAATTTTTTTTGCCAACAAAAGAAAGCAGAGACAGCATTGCTCACAGATTATCTTAAATGTGGCATCAATCCAGAGGTTGTGGCATACTGCTGCCAAACCCTACAAGAAAAATAAATTGACAGCTCCATTATTTTGAGAGGCAAGCAGATGCCCTTTGAAAGTGAAATCTACCAAACTGGAGACATAAGGTGAAAGGAAATGTCACAACAGCAGAGCGCCAAGCCAGTATCACAGCTTCGGATTTGTGGCTTTACATATTAACTATGCTGCCATAAATGGACGCAGTGCATGCCAAGTTCTTACCTATTAAAGATCGCCTGCAGGGCCTCCTCGAACCGGCAGAGGACTTTGGGAGGCGTTGGCCACTTGACATGCTTCCCATAGTCTCTCATGGTCTTGACCCCCTGGAAGCGCCTGGCCACCTCCCGGATGTAGGACTTGACCTTGTAGCGCCGGTAGTACCTGATTATTGTCAGGGCTGCCTTGGTCCGCTTGTACCGCATCCGGGCCAGGGTGCCCCGCCACACCTGCATAGGGAGAAAGGGAAAGCAGGATGCCGTTGGCTGGCTGGCCAGGTGGTGGCTGACTTCGGAATGATAGATGCTCCTCTACTTAAGACACTCAACAGGGGAACTTTTAACCTGTGGGCAAAATCACTCAGAGCCAAAATGTGCCCATTCTATCTGCCACCAACAGGTGGCAGTAAGAGACAAAGCGGCCACTTGTGTTGGAATGGTCTCATTACTCTACACTGGAGTGTGTACTATTTGAAGTGTGCTCTTAACATTTACTCTGATGAAAAGAAAAATGCTAACACTCTATTTTAAGAAAGGTGAAAAGGGGTGGGGTGACTTAGAACCAAACATGGTCAACATCTATAGTTCGCTGTGAAACCTAACACGACAGGAGTCATACACACAGCTACTACTGTAATGCCATCTTGGATTTACAAACAGATTCAGACACTTCATGTTCCTTCCTGCTGTTCATCCACCCTCCCCAAGCACTATGTAAGCTTCATAGAATTCAGATGTATTCTTGGGGAAAGACTGTAAAACAGATTACAAGAATTATCAATCTTTATTAATCCCCCTCCCTTTCAGAGCTCAATCAGACAATGTGGAAGGGTCTCAAAGTCAGCTCATCCAAGCATGGTGAGATCTGAGATACTGACAGCTTTTTCAAGTGTCTGCATGTTTCAATTTCAAGCCAAAACAAACTTGGTGTCATTTTCAATTCATCACTGGCTCTTCCCAAATATGTCTTCTTTATCAGCAAATTTATTCCTTTTTCCTGCCTCTCCAGTATACAAATCTTTCTTTTCCTTTCTGCCAGCACAAGCTACAAGACCCTCAAGTATTTCAATTGCTTTCAGGGATAAACTCCACAGCCATAGCCCCACCACGTTCAGGTGATACCTAATGTGGCTCCTTAAATAACCTTTCCACTTCTTTGGCTGATTGTATTACTTCCCTTTCTAGCTCCTGGCCTTTCAGAACCAGTATTTTCAACCTCTAGTTCAAAGTCCTCAGTATGTGCTCTTCAGACTCCTCTGGTTTCTTTCATTTCTTCTTAAATCCCCAACTGTGCCCACCCCTCTCTCCCTCAGAAGAACTTGCACAGTGGTCCCTGGCCTCATTGTATGCCGGTCTGCATGCAGGCTCTCCCACTTGCAGCATGTGCTGGCAATGTTCTCCTCTTCCAGCCTCCTGCACAATAAAGATAGACTTGTTTGCATACTCGACGTCAGGAGCTCATCAAAGAAGGGAAAAAACCCCACACCACCCCATAATATAAAAGGCAAATGTGACATCTGAGCAATTTGTGATGGAAATCGAGAATTTGTGTGTAAACAACATACATAAAGACAACAAGGCAATGAAAACGAACTTGTTATTTCCTGTGGCATCAGTTCAGCAGCCATTTTTAGGCAGAATGGCTTTCTTCCTTATAGCCCAATCCGTTGTACAGATGGCTTTGTGACGCCTCCACCCAAATGCTAAAATAAAGGCCTCTCCTTTAGTCTTGGGAAACCAAAAGTCGACAATTATAGGGTAGAAGTATGTGATTCAATTTCTTAAACAAAATGCTTTTTTTAAAGTTTCATAGCATTTGCTGCCTTTTTCTTTTTTAAAATAAGGAAGGAAATGAAGACTCCCTGCAGTCACATCTATACAGAAAATCAATCTTTAATTTTCAAAAAGGGTTTTACATTTTATGAAAGCTTTTGGTTAGAGTTTTTATTAATCTGAAAAAAAGTATATGTTTTGTTTGTTTTGTACAACTGAAAAAATTCAAGCAGTAAAAATATACAAACTATGAAACTGCAGCCTTTCCCTGCCCCACTGTCACCCCCCTCCCATCTCTCAGCCTCATTCTACAAAGGCAAAGTAGTGTCGCTGTTTGTTCCAGTGTCATTATCTATAAATATATATTCTATTTTCTTTTAATAACTTCTTTTTTTTGCCATTGTTGCTGCAGACATGCATATCAAAACACACGCCAATTCAACAGCTTCTACATATATAATTTGGTGACAGCCTGCATTCTTTGAACTGTGCCACCATTCTCACTGTAAATTCTCTAGCAGACCAATCAAATGATTAGCAATAATCCTTCTCATTGTTAAGCAGAGCGATGGACTCCTTTTCTTGTATGCTTCCTACTACTTCCTCTATGCTCATGAGTAGGTCTGGTGCATAACATGCTGCGCTGCTAAATGGAAGGTTGATGGTTTGAATCCACCAGTAACTCCTTGGGGGGGAAAACCAGGCTGCTCCTTCTTGAAATGACAGCCTCAGAAACACAATGGAGGATTGCCCTAAATTGGAATCTACCTGACCAAAGTGAGTGGTTGTGGGTTTGTACGTGTGAGCTCATACTCCATCCTGAATTCCTGAGTCTTCTATAGATTCATTAACAGTTTCTACTTGCGGATTTATTCCACCCTCTTTGGGTTGGATTCTTGAGTTTTATTTTTCTTGGCTTTCTTCTAATAGCTTCTAAGAACAACGCATGGCCAGTAGAGTCCTTTCATATTTCATTTCCTGGAGAGTGCAAAGCAGGTGCCTAAAATGTCTTTTTCTTTTGGTTACAAAATACTTGCACTGTTGCTGAGTTGGAGCAGATTCATGGCAGATCCTCTAGTGGGCTTCTAGGGCCATAAATCCCATAAGACACCATCTATCTTTCTCCTGTGGAGCTTTTGAAAGACTTGAACAGCCAGAGAAGTGGGGCCTTTTGGTAAGAAAGACAACTCTCTATGGGCCATGCCACCAAATAGAGAAGTTAAGAGCAGGTTTTGGAATCAGACTAAATCACAAAACCAAACCTGAAGCTACTGAGCCACTTCTGACTGCTTGTGTTCAAAGCCTGGCTCAGTTCTTAGGAGCTGCATAAACTTTCTAACTTCTCTGTTTTTTATCTGTAAAATGGGGATGATAGTACTTATCTTGTAAGGTTATTGTGAGGATTAAAGGAACTATACATATAAAACAAGTGTCAGGTAGTTAGGACACAGAAATTATTAGTTTCTATGATGCTTTCAAAGTCTGTATGTACTTGGTGGCACAATGATTAAAGTACTTGGCTGCTAAGCACAAAGTTGGCACTTCGAGTCCACCAACTGCTCCATAAGAGAAGAACATAACTGTCTGCTTCTGGAAAGATTCTAGTCTTTCTTGGAAGCCATGTGGAGGCAGGTGTACGTTGTCGTATGGGAATGCTATGAGTCAGACTCGGTTTGACACACTGAGATTTGGTTTTGGTTCAGCCTGTGTTTTTAATTTTTTTTTTCTCTCAGTCCTATGTCATTGTGACCTGGTGGCTCTTTAATGAGTGTAAACCATTCTTTCTCAGCCAACTATCTGTCCTGAGATCATGTATGATGGGGTGCTATTTTATTCTGTCCCCTGTAACATGGTTTAACAAACTTATCCAATCTTTCAACTACCTAAGAGGAATGGAGAGGGTGCTGGGGCTTGAGTTGAGTTGAGGGTACCTGGCGTTTGAGTTGTCTTTCTAACTCTAATGACACAAATGCATCAGAGTTTTGCTTTGCAGCATCTGGGGTATAGTGTGAGTTTCTGTCTCAGACTGGGGCTGGACATTCTTTTCACAAGTGTCTGGTGAAGTCTTTTCTTGGCGTGGATGAACTAATTACTCCAAGGAGACTCTCTCCCATCCCTGGCCCATTTAATAATAAGTAAGAATCAGAAAGGCCAATCCCACCACTCTTGTCAGAGGGGAGTGGTCTTATGAGGGAAGAAATAGCCCCTCCTTGTCCATGTTTTGCAATTCCTTTTGAAGATTATGGATTTTTTAGCGTCTTCTTTCTATTTGATGCAATTTTTCTTTTCCTGGATGGTACTTTCAAAGTTTAGGACACAAAGTTGAAGTCTTCCCTGGTGTCAGGGTTGACGGCATGTTCTTTGTTATTTTTACATTTTTGCTAATTTCAGACAATTTGGGGGTAAAGAAATTCTGTGAGCCAACAGCCAGACACTGACCTTATCAGAGGTCTCCCAGGCTTATTTTTCTCGCTTTTCTTTTTTACCTTAACATCACAGTAAAAAGGAACACTGAAGAACTACAGAGGAGAATGATTCTATGGGAAAATGATTCATGTATTTTTCTTTGAAATCTAGGTATATCTGGTTTAAATAGATATGTTTTTATAAAAGTTGGTGAGCAGAGAGGAGAGGGTGGATCTGTTCATTTTTCCACCAAAGGTCTGTAGGTTGGAGACATCCTCCCTCCATTTCCTTCCCTCTTCATTTAAAACAGCTTCAACTACTGAGTTTTTTTAAAGAATTTTATAAAGTTACCTCTACAGAGTGGCTTGCCTAATGATGAAGGGTTAGAAAGTGGAAAATGAAAAGTTACAGAGATCCCATAAACTAACGCTTACTAATTATTTGCATATGATCGGAAAGGGTCAACAAGCAACAAGGAAGGAAAAAATATGGGCCATAGTTAATCCTGAAAAATGGAACCAATCAAGCCTTAGGGGCTCAGGGATATGGTGCAATAGGAGTAGGAGCTGAAAGCTGAAGACAGGGCAGGATCTGAGAGGCATAGCTGCACAGCATGGATAGATGGAGGAAAGGGCGAGGAAGCCACTTCTTAGCTGGAAAAAAGGATTCAGAGAATTGGTCAGCAGGAACTAATTGGGTTTAAATAAGTAACATTAGGGTGACAACGCATGAGTTTGGGATGTAGTTCCTTTCTTCAGTACCCTTGCTTTCTAGTCTAGTCTTAACACAGCAGTCAGAGTGAGCCCTTTAAGATCAAACGCAGATTATATCACAATTCTGTTCACAATAGGGCAGTGGTCCCCATTGGCCTTTGTGTGAAAGCTAGAATCCCTCCTGGGCCGACAAGGCCCATGTGATCTATTACCTCTCTGTCTTTGTCTCCCCTTATTATTACCTGCTCACTTCAGGCACACGACCCTTCTTAATGTAACACACAGACTGGACACACTGTGTCCCAGAGCCTTCACTCCAGTTGTTCTGTTTAGAATGGT